CTCTTGTTGAGTCCGCATCTTATCGCCAATACCAATCATCATTAATATTTCAATCCTGTCACTTTCGGTTAAAGGCATTTTGTAAAAAAAGTTCACGAACGTACCTTCTCTACAGCGTTAACAATACGAAACTGTGCTTCAATGTTTTTGACAGTGTTGTCAAATAAAAAAAACTGGTATGTCAAATAAAAAAACTGGTAAAAGATAATGCCAAACAAAAAGATTTTTATAGTCCAGGGGCTTGGATCACTAATAAAAGCTGTAAGATACAATTATTAAGAATAATGCTGTATGTTCTTGATAGTTTATCAAAGTAGTTGTAATAACAATACGTAATTTCATTTAATGTGTTTATTACGTTTATTCGTTATTTTCATTACTTTGTAAGTAAATTTTTGCATTTTTGCCCACCCTGTACCAATTTGAAGCAACATATTAAACATTTTTGGAATCAGCTCAGCAAAGGCAATTTGGAAATTGAAAAAAAAGGGGGGGTTCCATTTGAAAAAAATGGTGATGACGTCATTACACGAAAGTGGTTCACCCTGTATATTAGATTATGATTTGAAACAATAGTAAATTGAAATCAAAAATCGACCTGTTTTGGAAATTCCTAATTTTATTGTTCATTTAGCCAATAATGAATTTATGCGTTACTTTATGGACGCACTGTATAACACGTATCAAATGATTAAAAGTCACGTGATTTTTTTATTTATTTATTATTTTCATTTTATATTCAAGGGTGCCATCATATCAAAGTATTTGATATGATGGCACCAATAAATATCTTAAACACATAATACAACTTAGATGTTATGTTTTTGTTAACAAAATCCCTCTAACACAACAAAAGCTTAAAATAAACATAAACCATAAAATTAAAATCCTTGGACACAGCAAAAGTTTAACTTAAACGAAAAACGATACCTAAAGAAAATAAAAACAAAACAAATTAAATAGGTACCTACTCTTCGCAAAGTTCACATATAAAAGTTTTTATTTTTGGGGACCTATCAGCACAAGCACCATGTGCCCATTTCCCGCATATTTGGCATTTAAGCCACAACTCTTTGGACCTTGACCAGGAGTATAGTTCGTTGCAATACAAGCATGGGACGTCTTCATCACCCTCATCTTGTTGATAATTTGCCTGGAGATTTTCCTCATCCGATGACGTTTCAACAATCTTAACCTTTCTTTTTACAGCCCTTGCCAACTTCGCTCTTTCTTTTTCCCGTTTTAAATTCTCCACTGACTTCGCAGATTCAATATCTGGTGTTGCATTAATAATGCCCATTTTCCCTTTTTTTCTTGGTTTTCGTGTGTTTGTTGATACTTCGGGCATTTTCGGCAAAGGGGATATTTGCTCAATGCTGACTGAAAGCTTCGAGGAACGTGCTTCCGAATTCGACTCTTGGAGCGACCTCGGCGATTGATTTGAAGTACTTGGTGCACTAGTAACTTCTTGATGAGCAAGAGGCAGCAATGGTTGATTTTTAGTATCAGCTAAAGAAGAATTAATTTTTATATTCTCTTCAGCGGGCGTCCTATTTGTTGTTTCTGAAGGATCGAACATCAAATCTTCAAATATTTGTTGATTATATGGAACGATGCCCGTTGTTTTGAATGCTTTTATGGCTGTTGCAGGCGTTGCAGCTTTAAGATAAGCCTCGCCAAAAATGTTTGCTACTTGCAAATGGGTCACTACCCTTCCAGGATGCGCCTTAAGCCAAAGACGTATCTGTTGATTATAGAACGTTTGAAGCGGCCCGAAGAATCCTGTATCTAATGGTTGACATCTATGCGTGCAGTGCGCAGGAAAACAGAATAATATAATTCCATTTTCTTTGGCCTTTGTCAAGACAGAAAGATGTTTGTGGCTGGCATGGCCATCGAGCAAAAGTAAGACTTTGTGTTGTAAAGTTGGTTTTGCAAAACGTATAAAATGATCTAACCACTTGACCATAACTTCCGAGGTCATCCATCCAGTTTCTTGGCAAAAGCATACCGACCCAGGAGGAGCATTATCCATTAGTTCTGGCTTCATATTCTCTCGTGGAAATATGAACGCGGGAGGTATAAATGTTCCAACGGCGTTCATAGCACATACTGCAGTATAGTGTAGGCCTCTTTCCGCACTTGTTAAACTACCAACTTGTTTACGACCTTTGGTAGCATATATTTTTTCAGGCTTTGTCTGGACTATAGAGAACCCACTCTCGTCCATATTATATATGTTCTCATGAGAAAACTTATATAAAGTCAAAACTTCGTCTAGACTTTTAAAGTAGGCTTCAATATTACCTCTATTAAAGGCTGTCGCTCGAGCTGCAGATGTATTTTCTGGTGTTCGCAGGCTTATTAATGGATTGCGTTTAATGAAGGAGTGAAGCCACGTCCATCCGGCTTTATTATTAAGATGACTGAATTTGTGCTGAATATTATTTTGTACTGCAACCTGATACGCCAGTGATCTTACGTCTGTTGTTGTAAGCCCCAAAAACCGAGTCTCCATATTTGTGATATGGGCAACAATTTCGCTCTCTATCTCATTGGAAAAAGTTGGCTGACATCCTCCAAGGTTACCTTTCTCATGGCTCATATTTTTTCCAACTCTACGACGCAATGTAGACGCTGGGACATTAAACGTTTTAGATGCAAGTTTCCATCCCATTTTTTTTGCTGTATATTTATCATTGCCTCACGCATATTTTCTTCATCCCATTCATGCCTAGAAACTTTACTTTTAACTTTAGGCATTTTTCTATATCTCTTCTAACCCTGTAAAAAAAACTAAATTAAAGAACTCATTTTTAAAATTGTTTGATATGATGGCACCACCCTATGCCACCATTAAAGGGTTATAGGGTGTCATCATATCAAAATAACATAACAGTGCAAATGGCTGAATTTTCGTACTCTAACCCAAAACTAATTAATTGTTTTAGTTATATAAATAACCTATTATCATGCGCTTAAACAGATATAAAACATTTTGCAAATATCTATGCATATGCTACTAAATATTCCAAAAAATCGATAGAGTGGAAAAAAGTTTCATACTTACAACTAACAATAACAACGTGTTTCTCTGGCTGAAGGCACAATACTGCGATCCGAACGTCACAGCAGGTTCATGGTGGCGTGTTTAACAGCGGACAAGTGTTGAATTAAATAAATTCAAATAAACGGCGCCAATATCAATAGGATGCCACCATATCAAGGGTGCCATCATATCCACACTTCCCCTAAATAAAAAAAATCGCTATTTTCTGCTTACAAAATTTCTAAAGTATAACAAACAAAAACCGTTTCTATTTTACTAATTTTACAGTGACATATGATTAAATTCTAAAAAACAGAAAGCTAGAGCAGAGCAAGATAAAGACAGTTTGACCTGAAAAATATTTTTGTACGAATGTTCATACATGGATATGGGCGTGAATTAAAGATAATTCTATTACCACTGTCAAGATCACAAGATAGAGATTGAAACGAAAATGTATACAAGAGTTGACTATGATAAAAACCCTAAGTAAAAATAATAGATATAAAGATAAATGGTACTTTAAGAGTAGTTTTCTAGAGGTAATTAAATTTTTGCTATTTTATTCTCTTTTCGTTTGTTAACTTAAACTAGATAATATTCTTGTGACTTAAACTTCAACTGTACGTGTATAATTTCTTTTCCATTGAACTTAAAATATTGTTTTCAATACTTCACCAAACGAAATTAGTTCTGAGGCCTTTTTTCATACATTTAAAATTATTCTCTTTTCTCTGGACTAAGCTAAAATCGTTCTCAACATAATAAAGAAATTTCATTAATCTGTTGAATATTTCTTTAGAATATCTCTTTTTAAAGATATAGAAGTGTTATCGGTTAGGAAATATGTTCTAGGGTATTACGTTTCGACAATAAAAATTACTCTTTTGACTTTTATAACCAAAAGGTACTGAATTATGATCAGGAAGAAATTTTCGGTGGAGAGAATTTGGTTTATATTTTTAACATTTTCTTTTGTTACTATATCATGCTCTTTCGTTCTTCTAATCTCCTTAAAAATTATTTGAATGAGCTTCCAGGGTTTAAAACCATCTGGAACTAAAATTAATTTGTTGAGAAGCTGAGTGATTTAAAGATATACCCTTAACTTTACAAGTAATTTTAAAATCTTGATATTTAGTTGATCATACTTTGTAGGCATAGTTTTTAGGCCCACCCGACACAAATTCAGTTATGTATATACGAACTAGGCCCTTCTTTCTCCAATAAACTCACCTGTTGGTATGTCGAGTTCCCCGGGTCCTAATACGTATATTACCGATTCTTTATATTAATATCAAACTCTTATCTTCTAATTTCTCAAGGTAACTATATAACTTAAGTAGTAACGAAAGCTGCTATTACCACATTGACTGTGGACAAAGATTCGAAAGCCTCCTCTCTATAATCCTAATTAATAATTATTGTGGTTTCATTTACAGGGAGTAACGTATTTATATATAATGATGGGTTTGACATACCAACAAATTCTGCAGGAGTGTTAATAATACTAGTCTGGGACTGATTCTGTCGCTGTCCAAATTTGCCCCAGAAGCAATTAAGCATAAGTTTAGCTCATGAATGTAGTCTGGGATTATCAGCGATCTGTGGGAACTCCAATTTAACATTTTCCGAAAAACCCCTCAATATACTTCTATTTTTCACCTTTCGTTCGACAATGTTTAGGCCACTCACTAGACTCCTGCTTCAGTCGAATAAAACAATTCATCATTTCGGTAAATAGACATTATTTCCGAACTAAATTGTATTCATATGCCCAAACCTCATACATTTTTAAAAGTTTATAACCCTTCTGAAGAGCATTATTTACTTCTGCTATTACCCACGTACCTGTTAACGCTCGCCCCTCATTAGAATTTCCACACTCACGACAAAGAACAAACATCAATTTGTTGTTCATATTTTGGGGTAGAACTGGATGTAGTAGATCTCAAAGAGGCAACACGCTACAATTTACAACCCTCGAAACTGTGGTTAACGATGGACATTCATCGCCTACATAAACTTTAGGATGACCAACAGGGAATTTTCCATATTTACAAATCGCCGGATATAACGATCGAATATGATTATACTTAATTTGTTCATCGTTCTGAACTTTGTAATATTCTGAAACATTTCCCGTCCTTCCTCTGTAAAGCGCAATTCTAGGATCAAGTGGTGTTCGCAACACAAGTGGATGGAGCTGTATATCCCGCATATCCTTGTTTTCATCTAGTAGATGCCTAAATTCACACTCCCATATGTCACTTAACTCCTATCCTAGAAATCTTAAACGTTCCTTTTTAGTTACAGTAGCTTCATATCGCAAATTTATTGTCTCAGTGGTTGATTCTGGTAGAGGTACATCTCTTTGTTGCGTAAAACATTGTGGACAACCGTGGTAATAACAACCTTCGAATTCGAAAAGTTGGTTTGGTTTCCTCGCTATATTCATCGACTTTCATTCCAGCAATTCTGACCTCCTTACCATTTGCTTTGTGTTGAATATTGATAATTCTTTGTTTTCTTTCCCAAATCAACCAATAGCTATAGTGGATTGATCAAGAAAATTGCGTCGAAACACTTTGTTACAACTCGATGCCATTGTTGTTGCTTCCAGAAAAGGGCATACATTACATTCTTTCAATATAAGCTCTCTAAATTTCAGACATGCACGTGTCAATATATCAACATCTGACAAGTAGTAGTTAACAATTTGTTTTTGAAAATCTCACACATAATTAACGGCAACTCTTTCAGCAAGTTACTTTAATAGTTTTTCAAACTTGGGTTAGCCATGTGTGAGTTAATGTATTAAAGGTGGGAAAAGAAAGAAAACAGGTCCTTTATATCTCACAAAGAAATTTGTATTTGAACCTAGTGGGTAAGAGAAAAGGGGAAATTGATGAGTATTTAAGTTGTTAGCCAAAAATTAATACCATTAAAATAAAAAAATAAAAAAAAATGATGGAATATTGATTTAGTTTAAGCGAAATTAAGAAAAGTAATATACAGGGTGCGGCATAAGTTCCGCCCCCATTTTGCACGTCGGAAAAAGCGAATAAAATGTAATTTAATGAGTATGCTACAGAAAATAAGATATTTACAGCTTAGAATAAGTTTATAACAAGTGTTCAAATTGGTGACCATCTTGGTCAACGCATCTTCGGCACCGTGTGACGACAGTTTGGCATGTACGACGGAACATTTCGTAATGTTCCCTGATGTTGTCGAACTCCTCCTCGATGATTCTTCTCAACTGCTCGACTGTTCTTGCTTGTCTTGCGAACACTCGATCCTTCATCAGGCCCCAGAGAAAAAGGTTGCAGGGTGTTAAATCGCAAGACCTCGCTGGCCATTCAATTTCCCCACGTTTTCCTATCCACGCTCCGAAGTGATCATTGAGACATCCCTGCACAATTAAAGCGTAATATGAAGGGGCACCGTCTTGCATAAGGTGGGGGGCACCGTCTTGCATAAGGTGGGGGGCACCGTCTTGCATAAGGTAGGGGGCACCGTCTTGCATAAGGTGGGGGGCACCGTCTTGCATAAAGTGGGGGGCACCGTCTTGCATAAAGTGGATGATTTGGGCCAAATCTGGGTCAGCATCCATTTGACCTCGTAGATCCTCTAGAAGTTCCAGGTAGGTTACTGCAGTTACAGTGGCATCGAAAAAGTAGGGACCAACTAGTCCTCCAGCATGAATGCCAGCCCATACGCTGACGCCGGGTGCATTAAGTTCTTGCTGAATGGTTACGTGGGGGTTTTCGGTGGCCCAATAGACAGAATTGTGTCGATTGATGGTACCGTTCAATTGAATAGAGGCGGTAGAATTGATTGTCGTCTTCTTGGCAACTGATAAACCACTCACAGAATTCCAAACGCCGATCGAAGTCATCCTCATGAAGCGCGTGAATTAGGCGAGGACGGTACGCACGGTAATTGATACGCTTTAACATTCGACGTATGGAACGATCAGAAATTTGCAGTTCTCTCGCTAGCCTTCTACGTACAATAATAATACACCTAACACCTTGCCACAATCGTTTGAGAACGCAAACTAACGAGGCAAAAGTTGTACTGCATAGTATAATAAAACAATAATAAAACAAAAAACTCACCATAATCTCTTATCCACTAGGGATAAAACTATTGGATTACAATCTTGAAGGAATAGAAGCGAACTGAATATTTATTATTTTTTTATAAAAGCATTTGTATTTGTCGGGGTTAAAAACATTAAAATTAAAAACGTCACATGTTAAAATAACGATATTAAAATATTAATGAGCCTACTTTACAAAGTCAAAAAACAAAACTGCCAAAGTTTTTATTGTTCACAAAAGCAAAATGGATACTAGCAATGAATATAATAGTTTTTCTCTGTCTTCCTCTTTTAAACTATCTGAATTATAATATTCAACATGCTTTTGTTTTTTACAGTGTTAAAAAGTGTCCTTTTGTCAATTCAGAAAACCCTAAAGCTTCTGGAAGCCTAAAAAGAGACATAGGAAAGGAAATTAAATTATCGAGGAATTTGACATTGCTAGTGGTCATAGAAATTAATTTTCTGCCCCTAATAATGAGGTCTGGAGTAAGGTCGGTTTGAGTAAGGATATTATTGAGAATAAAGTGGTGATCATACCCACCACCATTATAGGCCAAAACATTTTTGAAGTTTTTACGGATCTGGAAGAGATGATCCAATAAATTGGAAATAATATTAGTTCCAAGCAGTATTTTTTGTCTCATCCCACAAGACTGACAGAAAAACAACTGTATCTCATGGATACATGTGTGGCAGCGCTGACTAAAAATGCAAAGAATAGGTTCGTGTGAGATATCCGTCGGCTTGCACCATATTCTGTCTTGTTTCGAGATCGTAAAAGACAAAAAGGAAATCTTTGGATGGAGGGGACTTGGAATCGGGTTACGGGTTGGATAGCATAAATGATCCGATGACTGTTGTTTATTACAGACTTCGCAAAAATTTTCTCCACAGATATGAGATTTATTAGTAAGTACAATTTTGAAACATTCTTCACAACGCCGTATTTTTTACAAATAGTATGCCTTGTGTAACAAGAATTACATATCACGGACAATTTGGTGTTGGAACAAGTCGGTGTCTGTTGACAACCAACATCTGTGCTTAAAATTTTGATTGTAAAGTACATGACATTCTTCACAAAAGTAGCCACAACAAAATGCTGCAGTTAGCGATGTAATAACATTGTAATGTCCATCGTGATGAATTAAGTTCAATGAAGGACCAACACCATTACCTTCAAAAATGACGTCACGGTTTTTTGAACCATAAGCATATACAATAATTTTGTAGCTGTTTAAATACCTCTGAAATTGTTGAAGTTCTGGTATTCCAGCTTATTCTTCAGGTATGGAAACACTAGCCTCGCTCATCAACTCTTGAGTTCTTTGGTCCTGTAATTTACCAATATTTCTTCGAACTTTTGCATATTCAAGATCTTTATCTATGTTTGCCTTAGCGACTGAAAAAGCACGAGGCAAACACAAGTTGTCTTTATTAAAGATCGTTATAATACCTCGACTCTTGTAACAATATTCAGCAATAGAATTAAAATTAAAGGGTTTAACACGGCCTTTTCCCTTTGGCATTCTTAAAGATGTCACACTTAAAAAAAGTGTCGGTGTTAAGGTCAGATTGATATAGCGACGAAATGTATCCCATAGGTTATCCATTGTCACCTCCGATGCAGGCTTAAAGCAATCCATGCATCACCTTTTGCAAATTGTTTAGAGCAAAATATAAATCCTACCTTATCAGTTGAGTCGACACCCTCGATTCCCTTTTAAACAATTTGTGTAAGTGTGGCGACATCATAGCACCACATAGTCTTACCTTTAGTTTTGACTTTTACGTCAATTTATTTTAAGGTTTCTTAGTCAGTTTTTATTTGAGGTTGGTCAAGTGTCAATCTCAGATGGTACCATTATAATATCACATATATTATGATCTTGGTCGATGGCTGCGTACACTAGCACCCTACTTATCCGATGGATGGTAACCATGGAAAAAGAAAACAAAAAAAATTGATTGATTACTGGATTCGAAAAAAGACAAGACAAGACGTACTTCGACACAACATTTTCATTTAATGTTTTTTTATATTTTAAAATAAAATTATAATTATTCACTGAAATTCTGATTTCCTGCTATCTACAGTAAAAGCGTCTTTTATCCATCTCACAAGTTCTGAATCTTTAGGAATTGGGTTAATTCGGAATTTCATTGTTCGCCCAAAAAGTCCAAACCTCTTAATTTTCTTGTTTCTGACAATGGCGAATTTTTCCACAGCACACATTTTTTCGTTTTCAGATAATCCAAAATAAAATGTGTCGAATATTGTTCAGAGCTTAGTATTTTATTATAAATATCTCGAACTTTGCTTTGCATTAAATCCAGAAACTCCCTCTGTTCAATCAGATGTTGTGGAGTTTCTGATGTCATTTGCCCAATTCTTAGTAATTGTTTACCATAGTTCTTTGGCCCGTTTTGTTAAATCCAACAGTTTTTTTTTGAAGAACCTCTTCTTCTCTCTATAGCTGAGGTAATTGTTCCTCGGCAAGTTTGATATCACCTACACACAACTTCTCAAATTCATCCAAGTTAATGCGTTGCGAGGTATAATCGTTATGCCGTTTAACTTCAATAGCATACAGCTCCTTAACTATTCCCCATAACAATCGTTACTTTGATGGTTTTTATGAACTTAAAATATTCATCCTCCTTGGAGAAACACATGGTTCCACCACCTTAGATACTGTGGTTCTTGCCATTAAAACTGGAGCAAAGCTGATAGTCGATGATGGTAATGACACTGTCTGCTTATTATTACCATTTAAGGAATTGACTAAGTTCAATTTCTTTGGCATATTTTTGACATTTGTCTGGTTATTATTATTATTAATATTTAAGCAGTGATTTAAGGGTATGTGTAAATTCTTTCTCCTTGACGTTAGTTTGACATCTTTACGGACACTTTAGCATTCCTAAAGATTTGTCAACTTTGCACTTTTTTTATTTTACCTGCTACCAACTTGGTCTGATTGGTTTAGATTTACTATTATGTAAAGGTATCCCATTGGTAACGACTTTTTCGACAGTTGCCTCTTCGAAGTCATTTTTACCAAATCTGGAGGGCAATCGACAAATTCGTCTTCACTATTAGCTCTAGCGGGTGATGAACATGGATTTTTTGATGGTGTTAACAACATCGGTGATAGTAACAATGGTACCGGTGTTAAACTCTCAGACAGATATACAGAAACTAAATTATCAGATGCCATTTTAGCTTCTACCTGCGAAGCGCTCACTTCATTCACTAGGGACATTTTAAATTATTTACCAACACTCACATATCAAGAAGCAAAAAAGTAACAAAGCAAAGTTCGGATAGAATGAATAACCTGAAAGTGAAACATTCGGTTTTGTTAGATTCAAAAGTGAGGAGGTAAGTGACTAAACGATCAGTGCCAAATACTCGACGGCTAAATAACAATGTTATATTTTAGAAATTTACGACGTACAAGAAATTGCTATTTGGGCCTGCTGGATTGTAATATGCCTGTAAACGATTCGTCTGTCTAAATAATTGGCTATAAGTTTACATTTTACAATTCTCAGTAATTTAAACATTTCTAACTTTTCTAATTCTGAACCAATGTTATTCAGTTTATAAATTCACTATACATAAGAGTCCGTATTTTAGGTGATTATATCAATATAAGATATATTTCCTTGGGTAAGAAAACAGATAGATATATTTGTCTTAAAATGGTCCACTATGTTATCAACGGATTTCTAAATATTTTTATAATATACATGGGTGATTCTAATATGAAGCATTTCCATGTCTCCGAACATTAAATAGAATTAAAATTATCAAAAATGCTCGCCTTTTATTTGGATAGGGAAAGGTATTCTGCAAATGGAAATAGGTACCATTTTTTTTTTAAATCCATATACTGATCCTAGGTGTTTTAATTTAGTAGTTTATTATAAATATCTCGAACTTTAGTTTGCATTAAACTTAATTTTACTTTCTGCTCGTCCCATAGAAGTTTAGAAACTCCCTCTGTTCAATCAGATGTTGTGGAGTTTCTGATGTCATTTGCCTAATTCTTAGTAATTGTTTACCATAGTTCTTTGGCCCGTTTTGTTAAATCCAACAGTTTTTTTTTGAAGAACCTCTTCTTCTCTCTATAGCTGAGGTAATTGTTCCTCGGCAAGTTTGATATCACCTACACACAACTTCTCAAATTCATCCAAGTTAATGCGTTGCGAGGTATAATCGTTATGCCGTTTAACTTCAATAGCATACAGCTCCTTAACTATTCCCCATAACAATCGTTACTTTGATGGTTTTTATGAACTTAAAATATTCATCCTCCTTGGAGAAACACATGGTTCCACCACCTTAGATACTGTGGTTCTTGCCATTAAAACTGGAGCAAAGCTGATAGTCGATGATGGTAATGACACTGTCTGCTTATTATTACCATTTAAGGAATTGACTAAGTTCAATTTCTTTGGCATATTTTTGACATTTGTCTGGTTATTATTATTATTAATATTTAAGCAGTGATTTAAGGGTATGTGTAAATTCTTTCTCCTTGACGTTAGTTTGACATCTTTACGGACACTTTAGCATTCCTAAAGATTTGTCAACTTTGCACTTTTTTTATTTTACCTGCTACCAACTTGGTCTGATTGGTTTAGATTTACTATTATGTAAAGGTATCCCATTGGTAACGACTTTTTCGACAGTTGCCTCTTCGAAGTCATTTTTACCAAATCTGGAGGGCAATCGACAAATTCGTCTTCACTATTAGCTCTAGCGGGTGATGAACATGGATTTTTTGATGGTGTTAACAACATCGGTGATAGTAACAATGGTACCGGTGTTAAACTCTCAGACAGATATACAGAAACTAAATTATCAGATGCCATTTTAGCTTCTACCTGCGAAGCGCTCACTTCATTCACTAGGGACATTTTAAATTATTTACCAACACTCACATATCAAGAAGCAAAAAAGTAACAAAGCAAAGTTCGGATAGAATGAATAACCTGAGAGTAAAACATTAGGTTTTGTTAGATTCAAAAGTGAGGAGGTAAGTGACTAAACGATCAGTGCCAAATACTCTACGGCTAAATTACAATATTATATTTTAGAAATTTACGACTTACAAGAAATTGCTATTTGGGCCTGCCGGGTTGTAATATGCCTGTAAACGATCCGTCTGTCTAAATCATTGGCTATAAGTTTACATTTTACAATTCTCAATAATTTAAACATTTCTAACTTTTCTAATTCTCAACCAATGTTATTCAGTTCATAAATTCACTACACAGAAGAGTCCGTATTTTAGGTGATTATATCTATATAAGATATATTTCCTTGGGTAAGAAAACAGATAGATATTTGTCTTAAAATGGTCCACTATGTTATCAGCAGATTTCTAAATATTTTTATAAAATACATGGGTGATTCTAATATGGTGCATTTCCATGTCCCCGAGCATTAAATAGGATGAAAATTATTAAAAAAAGCTCTCATTTTATTTGGGTAGGGAAAACGTATTCTGCAAATGGAAATAGGGACCTTTTTTTTTTTTTTTTGAAATCCATATACTAATCCGAGGTGTTTTAGTTTAGTATTTTATTATAAATATCTCGAACTTTGCTTTGCATTGAACTTATTTTACTTTCTGCTGGTCCCATAGAAGTTTAGAAACGCGCACAATCTTCCTCTGTTCAATCAGATGTTGTGGAGTTTCTGATGTTATTTGCCTAATTCTTAGTAATTGGTTGCGATGTTCTTTGGCCCGTTTTTGTTAAATCCAACAGTTGTTTCTGAAGAATCTCATCTTCTCTCTCCAGCTCAGGTAATTGTTCCCGGAAAGTTTGATTTTACGTACACACAACTTCTCAAATTCATCCCAGTTAATGCGTTGCGAGGTATAATCACTACGGCGTTTATTTTCAATAGCATACAGCTCCTTTAACTGTTCTCCTTAACTATCGTTACATTGTTTGATGGTGTTTATAAACTTAAAATATTCATCCTTAGTAGAACCCATTGGAGAAACACATGGTTCCACCACCTTAGATACTATGGTTCTTGCCATTAAAACTGGAGCAAAGGTGATAGTCGATGATGATGATGATGACGCTGTCTGCTTATTATTACCATTTAATGAATTGACTAAACTCAATATCTTTGGCATATTTTTGACATTTGTCTGGTTAATATTATTGGTGAGTGTTTAAACAGTGATTTAAGGATATGTGTAAAGCACATACTTTGATTACTATACGAGGCAAGAGAGAGGTCCGACACGCCCAACATAGGGCGCGGCCATTTTGAACCCTGTGACACAGTTTACAGCTAAAGAATCAGATCGCTCACTCTGCGTCGGCACTTTTGATCTCAATGTTTCAGTTTATACACTGTGCAACTCGGATAATACAATATATGACAACCGCCTATAATAAATCAGCAGTCTTCTGCGTATCCTGAATTTGTATCCCTGCACTATGGTTTCTAGAAAGGAATTTTTTGGCCAAAAGTCAAAACAAGATTTAAAAAAACAAATTATGATCTCAACTGTTTTTAATGGAGTATATTAACACTATAAAACTCATTTTGAGCCATTTAGAACAAGAATTAAAATAATAAATATCTTTTTTCTCAAAATATATTTGATAGTTTAAATAAAAAGTAAAATCACATTTCCATATCTAACTCAAGTGAGTCCAAATGATCAGGCATTATTTCTTCCAAAATTGTTTCTTCCCCTTCGTCTTTGTCATAATCATCTTCTAAATTTTCTTCATGTTCCAAAGTTTGTGGTTGTTGTTCCAAAAGCATTTCTGTAACTTCAGCTGGAAACTTAAACTTTTGTTGTTTATTTATTCGTTTTTGTAAATTTATACTTGAAATAATGGGATCTGAGGTGTCCATAGCTCGATGAAAAACATCTTCGAGATTATTTTGTCGGCTTGTTTTCCTAGCGTGAAATTGTCGATCATATTTGTAAAGTTTATTTCTTGCTTCAGATCCCTCTTCCCCGAAATATCCCACGGGCAATATGGTATTCTCCATTATCTGTCTCCCATGTACTAAAACTTTGTGAATGGTTGCAGGCATAGGATACCAGGAATATTTTTTCATGTATAGTCTGGCAGTTTCATGACAAAAAATTTCAAATTTTTCTGCATCTAGTTGGTACTGGCAAGACAAACAAATTAGGATGATTTTAAATTTTTTTATTAGAGTTTCATCAACATCTGTTATTTCCGAAAACAATTTGGTGTTGCTAAAGGCTCTACGAGCAGTATTGCCGTCATTTGTGCTACCAAATCCACTTGATTTTGGTTTATCTACATGTAGATGTAAAAGGGATAAGAATCGTTCTTGAATATTTTTTTTTCTGTTGGCAAATCTTTCTTTATTTTCGGTACCTCTAACTTGCCATTCACATAAATTATGCCTGTAGGATATGTGTAGTATGCACTCGAAAAAACGAATCCAAGCATGTAATGGGCTTATTCCATATTGTAAAGTATTTGGTTTTGGGTTAAAGATATTAGTTGTTTTGAGGTTCTCAACTTTTAAAAAACTTCGGGGAGTAGCACCACATATTGGACAAGTTTGACTTGACTTTGTACCAGTTAAAGTATTAAGTACCTTTCCATCAATTAAAGTCATAAAAAGAATACATTTAATATTTATTAGCTTATTTTCAGGCAATAGTAATTTTAGTTCTTTTAGTTTTTCAATCTGCAAGTCAATATTTTTTTTTCTCTTTTAATATATGTTCTGATGATTCTTTAGTATACTCTAACTTAAGTGGTCTACAGAACCGAACAGACTGAGGAGTTCTATTGTTCCACAAAATAACATTATTTTTCGACTGCAAACGAAGAGGTATACAAGTCGTTGCAAATAAAGACTCATCGGACTGAGTACCTGAAGTACTGAATTTCTGTTTGTAAGCTGATTGGCCACTACTTCCATCGAAGCCATAACTAAATATTATTTCTGCACTAATTTCATTCAGCTTAATCATTTTCATGTACTGCACAATGGCCTCTTCTTGTAAAAATACAATTCTTTTTGTAGTATGTTCTAGAAGATTTGATAAAGGAACTTCTGCTACAATATCAGAAACAATAATACCGGTTGGTCTACATTTAGGTTTACATTTCCACACTTCATTATAATTTGGGTACATATCAGATTTTCTTGAAAGAGCTCCGTGTCTGATGTTTAAATACTGCTGTTTACTAAAATTGTTATCTAGAATAAATTCTAGGGCTTCTTCAG